ACCATTGATTCTTTCTCTCCTCCTCTGCATCCCCAAAGTGTTGATATCCACATACATCAGCACTGCACTGGTTTATAAGTAGTATGCTGCTAAACAGCTCCCAGAGGAGGCAGCGTTTCAGTGAAGGATGAAGGCTATGTGTATATGGTGGGTGTATGTAATTCCAAAATGAATCGTGACATTAACTTTGCTACGTAATTATGGCTCAATTTTAAGCTGCTGTTTAGTTTTCATTCTTCATCAGAGGAGAAAGGAGTCAATGATGAGTAGGTTTTTGGTCCTGCTCGGGTTCAGTATTTAGGCCAGTCATGTGTTTAATGCAGCTTTTGGGCAGGGAAACAGCTTGAGAGCTGCTCAGTGCCTCAGGCTACCAGCTGCTTGCCTAATTGGCCTGGGAGCACAGTGGAAAGAAAGCTGAGACACCAAGTCAGCTGGCTTTCAATATTATTCCCAACTGGAAGAGAACCTGCTTATTGGGTTGAAGTGGCATTCACTCTTATAGATACATAGTAACTGTTTGCCCAGGGATGGTGCCATCCATTGTAGCTGTCCTGTTTGTTTGCATCAGGTCAGTGTGAGTGAAGTTTGAATCCACATCTTTTTCTTCTGTTGGGCAACACTTGAAGGTTATGAGGTAAAAATTATTTTAGGACTGAGTCGTTTCTTATCTGAGTGGGAGGTTTCAGAAGGAAGCATAGCAGGCTCATAAGACACGTTGTGGAGAGAGCCTAAATAATAACCATAGATGCATACAGAAGAAACTAGAGGACAAAGAGCATAGCTTCGTGAAGTAGAGCTGTATGCTCTGAATGATTCTTCCACATACTCGGTTAACTTGACTTTGACAGTCAGTGAGGCTCAAAAGGTATCCTTCGTCAAGAGTGGTAACTGCTAAGCTACAGGGGAAAGAAGAGTTTCTAGTTTTGATAGATTTTCTTGTTAAAAAAAAAACAGGAGGTTCTTGCAGTCTTGTGGAAAATTTAAGGAATTTGAATGGTTTGGGTTTTTTAACCTTTTAAGTTGTTAAAATCCATGCCACTCTCTTTTCTTTGGGAAGATAATATTTTGTATGTAATAAACACTTGGATTTGAAGTAAATGCTAATAAACTTGTTTTACCTAAGACATTCATCTCTTTGAACGTGCAAGGAATGTAGACTGCTTATGAACACAGTGATTTGTTTCTATAATTATGTAAATACTGCTTAGTTGGGTTTTTAAGTATTTCTCTAGGTATGTATGGGTCTGGTGCATTTTCACAGGTGATTTTTATTAGCTGAGATCCTAACAAAGGAGGGCCAAGCAATCATAGAATCTCAGACTGGTTTGGGTTGGAAAGGACCTTAAGATCATTCAATTCCAACCCCTGCCATGGGCAGGGACACACCACATTAGAGCAGGTTGCTCCAAGCCCTGTCCAGCCTGGCTTTGAACACCGCCAGGGAGGGGGCAACCACAGCTTCTCTGGGCACCCTGTGCCAGCGCCTCAGCACCCTCACAGCAAAGAGCTTCCTTATATCCAACCTTAATCTCCTATTTTTAAGTTTGAACCCGTTACCCCTTGTCCTATCACTACAGTCCCTGATGAAGAATCAAATCAAACTCGGTCTGCCTGTTTCTCTCCAATTAATAACTTTAAAACCTGTTGACAAACTGGTTTGACTTGAAAGGGCAGCAGTCTTGATAAATAATTGTGCAGTTTTCCGTACTCAGTGTTGTCATACAGATTGTATGTGGTTATCAGTGCTTGTGCTGAAGGAGAAAACAAAAGTTGCACATTAGATGTTTTTTTCTGGTAGCATCTGACTGGCAAGTCAACTTGTTGCTAGCTATGGTATTTGCTGGTTTATTGCTACAAGAGGATGGCTCAAGAAATGTAAGATGCTGTCAGTTACAGAAATGTGATAAGGATTTCAAAGAACATGTAGACAAATAGCTGAGGAAACAAGCTGCTTCTGCAGCTTATAAACAGCTACTTCTGCCAGCTGAAGGCTTTCTGCAAGTAATTCATCTGCTGGTAAATAACCATTGTAGCAACCTTTATTGTGCTGATCATATCTGGTACTGCCTGTGTGTAAACTGTCCTCACAGTTGATGGAAGTTGGCATGCAGGACAACTGCAGATGACAAAACAGCATTTCCCCCAACTGTATAGTAATTGTATTATTCGTTACAGTGAACCTAAACAGGCAGGAATAAAAAAGTGGGAGACAGAATATTTTATGCCTTAAAATTACCCTTTATGCCTTAAAATTACTATGAAAATCTGCCTGGTAGTCAAAGTACCACTTGCTTAAGTGTTGCTTATCTTTTTAAATTGATGGAGTTAATTAGTATCAAACTTGGTGCGGACAGTCTTAACCCTGTTCAGACATTTGGCTCCTGTTCATTTTGCCTAGATGTTTTCCTTACAAAATCAGGTTTAAATCGAGTGCAATGAAAGCAATAAGACTGTAGGACTTAATTTTATCCACAGGATCTCGGATAGGAAAGAAATGACCTAAAGTGATTATTTATCTATTTCAGTGAAGCTATTCCAACCTTATATAGACAAGTTCTCCTAATCAAAGTTAATAAGGAGATTTTTGGTAAACAAAATGTATTTAATAAATAGCCAGCATCATCTTCCTCTGTATCTTCCACCTGTAGTCATTAAAGCATACCTTGCATTTTCTACCATACTTCTAAAAACATATAAGCAACGTTATAAGCCAGGTTAGATACTTTGACTTTGCTTCTCGCTAGCTTTAGCTTCCCTTGCTCTTCAGCAATTTACATCGTGCACATCATCACAGCTTTTGGTTTCTAACTGTTGCAGTTATTTCAAAAAGGTGATTTCAGTTCTTTATCATAAGGATTAGTTTTCATTTTAATTTTAAATTGAAAGCCTCCTTGTCTTCGATAATAGAACTGGCTGTGTACTTCACACTTGGGAAGGTTTGCTCCTTGCTTGGGTTTTTGCTTTCCCCTCTCACAAAGTTGCAGATGATTGTATGCCATAGCCTTTCTGTTAATTGCATCTAATTATGCATCTTTTATATCTTATGTATAGCCTTTATAGCGCTTATCACACTAATTCTTGAATCATCATGGTTTCAAATACCTCATTAGAGGAACACTTCTCATCACTTCTCCTGCAAGTCATGCCTGTTTATCACAAATGTTTACTTCTTGCATAGAAAAGGGGAAGCTTCTCTCCACGCCAGCCAGCCTCATCAACCCTGGAGTTCCGTGCAGTTATTCAAATCTAGCTGAGATCTACTACTACTCTGGTGTAGACAATACAAATTTAATTTGTTTCATTTTAGCCTCTCTAGGTGGTATTCCATATCCAGGTAGCCCTGGGCAGCCATGTGGCTAACTATGTCCCCTACCAAATGCTTGCTCTAATCGCTTACTGGCAGGAAGGGGAGAGTTGCCTGTCCTTTCTTGTTGTAACTTTCTTGTTGTAACTTCATCTTGTCTTCACATAGATGAAACCTGAGTCTGTTGCCTCATCTCTTTCCAAAATAGGACGTTTGCCAGCAGTGATGGGAGAGGTAGTAAGCGGGAAAGGAAGGAGCAAAAACTGTGACTGATGCAGTGGGGAGCAACAGATGTCATGTGGAAAATTGAGATATACTCAATAAGCATTTTCTACAAACATTTTCATACTGATGTAACTTAGTTATGGGGTGTGAGATACGAGCATATGAGAGAGTGAGTTTAAGCTTTGAAGCATTTCCGACAGATGGAAGTTTGTGGCTGAAGACAATTTCTGTGGAATTACAGGCTAGTGGTATTCACAGCTTAATGATTCTGCTTTAAGAGTGATTTTATAATTAAAGAGATGTGGTGAAAGAGAATAGAAGGAGCTGGGTTACAGGAAGCAAGGGAAGTAAAGGCCAAGAGTTGCTGCTGTTAAAAGCTTGTCATCCAGAAAGAGCTATACCCTGTGTAAGAACATGATACAAAGAATTACTGACTTCAGCTTGCGCTGTTAGACAACACAAATTTCTGTGAATACATTATTGAAGGCAGTATCACAATAAATGAATCAGAAAAGATGCTTTGACATCTGTATTACAAATTGTGGTATATACTTACCCAGAACAGAATAAAGCTATGTCTGAATCAGCACAAAGAAACTGATATTCAGCAGCAGCAAAAAACCCCAAAATGCTGTAATACTGTGGGTTTTATTTTCCAAATAGGCTTTTAACACTTGAAGCAGAGCTCAATTACTTAGGGTATTGCCCTCTGTATAACAGGAAGAATGGTTTATTTGCAATGTACTCACCTTGCCAAAATGAGTTGTTCGTAGCTTGCTTTTCCATGATTCTTTCTTTTTGATGTATTTGATGTATTTCAGTACTTGGAGATCACTGTTCACCTTGATGTTAACTGATTTGTAAGTGCCTCTTGCTTCTGTTCTTGTCAAACTTGAAATTAATAAATCTAATTGAATTTTTGCAAACCTATTTGTTGTAATGCTTTACACTTGGGGCTTGTGTCAGTTGAAATAACAAAACAGTGGTTTCAGCTGAATTCTGGTGCCTTTACACAGTTAACTGACTAAATCTGTAGTGTTGTTATTTCTCCTGTTTTCAGCAAATTCATCTTCTCCAAATTGCTTGAGTTATTCCTTCTATTATCATTTTTAAATAGGTGTTTTATAGAAATTATTTTGGACATTTTGGGTATGTCACCATTTTGATAGTGCATTATAGGCATTTTCTGTTAGAGATGATGGCTTTCAGTAGCATTATCGTGAGTCATAGAACATGGTATGTGTTCTCTAAGCATATTGTTTTCTAGTTCTGTGTGTTCTGCTTCAGACTAACCTTGTGTCGTTCATACAGTTTATAGATTAAGTTTTGCTTCAGATGTGTGATATAATGACAGCGTTTCCTTTATTGCTGAGGAGTTACTGCTTTTCACCAGGTTATTTGCATTCTATGCTTTGAACTTCAAAACTGGTGATATTTACATTGAAATGTTGTATTTGCCATGCTTTAACAGAAAGAGCTATTGCAAGACATGAAGTCAGAGAAATAGAACAACGTCATACAGTAGATGGCCCCCGACAAGATGTGGCATTGGATGAAGACGACGATGTGGTGATTATTTACAACCGAGTACCTAAGACTGCCAGCACTTCCTTCACAAATATTGCCTATGATCTTTGTGCGAAGAACAAATATCATGTTCTACATATCAATACAACCAAAAATAATCCTGTTATGTCTCTGCAAGATCAGGTAAGCTGCTGCATCTGGGAGGGATGTCTTTGTTAAACAAGGGAGAAGTACAGAAAATGTTTTCCTATTGCAAACTTGTATGGAATTGGCTTTTATGTCACATTTTCCAATATAAGTGAATTCTAATGCATTTATGTTTTCTTTGTAAAGAATGAATGTTTTTTATTAAATAATAGGTTTAGGTTTTTCCTGGGCTACTGGAGGAGGTAAGTATCTGTTTATCAGCCGAAAACAAAGCCAAAAGGGACACAGCTAGGGCACAAATGACCTTTGTTGTTACAGCTGTAAAAGTTTATTGTATTGTCAAATGTCTGCCTTTTGGCTGTGTAATAGTATTTGCCTGTCCTCTCCATCTGCAGTGAATGCAGTCCTATGTGATTTCCTCTATGAGTAGTGCAGGCACTGTGCCCTGCTGTCAGGGTTATGTTTCCATTTTTGATACTAGGTCTGGTCAGCTCTCACAGGTGATAATAACAGGTAGAAGGAAGCAGTTGTAAATAACTTAAACTCTAAAGGATGGGGCACTTTGCATTCATTTAAATCTCTCACTAAAATCAGTGTAGTCCCAGGCTAGAAATGATCATGGCTACCACTGCATCAGATGATGAAGACAATGAAGGATCAGGGCTCTGTTTTTTGTGGGGTGGGGTATGCTGAGGGAGGAGGGTCTTTAAGTAGTCAGGTTTTGCTCATGGTGAGTGCACGTTCAGGGAACGCAGGTCAGATGTCTGACACATCACTATGTCATCAGCCCTGTCTGTAAAACAAAGGTTTCCACACTCTGGAATGTGCTACTGGTTGTATGCCGATGATCTTAAGTGATATGCAGCAGAGGCAGGAGCTGTTCTGCATTGCAGCACATCAGCACTGAGGCTTCCAGCTCCTTTAAGTGCATGCCTACAGGCAGAAGCAGCTCAGCACAGCTGCTGGAGCAGTGCAAGGGGAAGCAGATGGTAACAGGCCTTCCACTTTTAGTTCTCTGTGTTGGAAAAAGGTTGAGGTAGGGATCTATGTGCAGGGGACATTGAATGTACTTGAGGCAGGACTGGAAACCTCTTTTGTGATAGTGAGGTTGTGTTATTGTTGGGTTTTTGGTAGTGTAAAATCTTTTCCTAAACACGAAGGTGATATAGTCATATGTGGTTACTGAGACTACCAAGACTCAACCTGGTAGCCAGCCCCATAGTCTTGTCTACTGCGTAGAACAAGAAAGACTTATGCACTAACAGCAGAGTGAGTTTTCAAAAGGAGATTTATCAAGCCTGTATCTGTTAGTTAAAAATCATACTCAAGTCAGTCACACTGAGAGCTGCACTTCCAAGCACAAGTTCTGTTGCAGTCAGGGTCTGAAATGTAGGGGTCTGTCCTGAAGGATAGGAAAGTGAGTCATTGGTGATATAAATTTGTTCTTTACTGGCTTAGTTTTGTCTAACAGAAACTCTCTTCCTAATTTTCCCTCTAATATTAGAGGGAATATTATAATACTACCTATTGAAAGATGAAAATCCATCAGTGCTGGCCATGTATACAATACTGGCAGTCCTACCTTCATTTGATACCATGCCATTGTCCAAGGTCGTAAGTTATATTGTTTAATTAGGCAGTTGTTACTCCTCTTCTTTGGTAGCCATTAACTGGGAAATGCTGCCAATGAAAATCTTTACATATTGCATAGTTGTTCAAACAAGAATATTTGTTTATCTGTCGTATATCGAGATAGCAACTTGCCATTATAAGTGATAAAGCAAAATTCTGGAGATGACAAGTAGCTGGTGAGGTTTATTCTTTGTGGGCTTGGGTTTGCATGAAATACATGCCACCTTTATCAGTATAGCTCACTTGAGTGCATTAGGTGTATATGCACCAGTAGTAAAATACATAGACATATAGAGACAGAATTGTTTGATTAGTTATACTGTTTGTTAAAGCAAATCTCCCTAAACAAGGTGAAGATTGCCTTGGGCCTGATACAGATTTGTAAAACAGTGAGCCCTCCATTGTGCAGTACTTGTGCTGTTCTTTTTCCAAACTGCTCTAAATCTGTAACAGATTTTAAGTTCTCTGTCCATAGGTGAAACCTTTACTTGTTGAATGCAATCTGCAAAAAACCCTGTTTAAAATCCACTCCACATACAATCAGTATCTGATTTGAGATAATCCAGTAAGAGTCCCTAACACATCCATTTTAGTTTCAGATGGAACTTGTCCCAGCAGCCCTCCTTTCTTTTGCAGCTTCTCTGACAGCAGGATCCTGGGAACTGCCCCTCTTTCCACAGGTTGGGCCTTTTCTTTGCAGTAACCTGAGTGGCACGCTGCCCATGTTGCATTTCTGACCTGTGTGGTCTGTAACAAAAACACTCGGTTTTCATTAAATCAGAGTAGGTTTTTGTGGGACTTCATTTGTTGCTTGCATGTTTCAGTACTAGTACTTTTTGTGGCTATAAGGAGGCCTGTGTTATGGCTTGCTGGATGGCATACCAGCCACACAAACTTCAGCTTTGTTGTTACATGGTGAGATTGTCATCTAAAACATGTAAAATGAAATTACTGTTCTGTCTTGCAGCATAAATCCTTGATATAGTGTTAGAAAAGGGGATGTAAGAACACGTTCTCTGTACTGCTGTTGTGAACATAGAAAAGCCATGGTACACTTATCAGCTTGCTATTTTCTGTTCCTCATTCTTTTTTCTCCTGCAGTTTCTCCATTTTTCTCAAAGGAGCACCTGAAAATGTATAATCTTGCTTCCAAATGTATTCTAAAGCAGTGGCCTCTCAGAGGATAGCACACTCATACTGACTTCAGTTCCACTTCCAGCAATGGCTCTCTGAGGTGGAACAAGGAAAAGGTTGGAGCGACTGTTAGAAGTACTCTCATGTGCTCCTGAACAGATAAGAGTTTTTCTCTTGGAGTTAGATGGCCTGGTGAGCACTAGTGTCCACTGCTGTACTTGTGCCAGTTGCAGAATCACACAATGGTTTGGGTTGGAAGGGACCGTGGAAGATTATCTAGTCCAGCCTCCAAGGTTGCAAGGAGTTTCCACCATCTGTGTGCTCCATACCCCTGGACTTTGACACAGATTGTGAAAACAGGGAGTTTAAAGCCTAATCTATTCAGCCTTTCTTGCACTCCCTGAGCCTCCTCGTGACCCTTCCATGTTTCAGTACTTTCAGTTGAGAAAGAACTGTTCATGCAAGTCTGGAACGTGTTCTTGTCTGGCTTCACCACAGCTGAACTGGTAGACTCTTGTCTTTTCACCGTCTCACAATATTGCTGAGAGATGCCTTTGCCTTGAGCTTGCTTGTGGTTTCTTATGGCATGCCGACAAAGGTGTGCTGCTAGCCTGTTTCCAGTGTTCCTAAACTTCTGGTTTAGGGCTACCTTATTTGACAGTTTGGATAACTAAGCTACCAATGCCTTCCTGCAGAGGATTTGCATTCAGTCATCCCATTATGCTTGGTCTTGAAATCTGAACTGAGATTTCTTTTAATGAGGACACTGTGTCGGTTGGTCTTAAGTCATACTTGAATGGAAAATCCTCATGTGTCCTCACCAGGCTGTGCTGGTGATATCCATCCCCCAGTTATTAGTAATTTTGAGTCAGTTATTCAGCAGTTGACAAACAAAACTAGAATGTAATGACGGGAAAAGCTGGGGCCTTTTTGGTATCCAAAATCCATGTGATACCAAGCCACAGGGTAATGACCATACCAACTTTGGTGGCAGAGGGTATGGATGTTCTCTTCAGACCATAGACAAGAGGGACTGATGGAAGCAGTGGACAGAGATGGAGGCTTCCCACGTCACTTTGGTCTGCACATACACATTTCCCAGGGATTTTTTTGCTGAGACCAAGTATGCTGGTTGATTTTACATTTTCCCTTTTGGCTCACTGGGACTCATTATAAATTCTTATCGTCCTAGAAACTGAATGTATTTAACTTACCTTTCAGGACATCTTATGCCCCCAGAGTACGTTTGATCTGGCTTTTTAATTCAGTAAAGCTCAGCTGATTTCTCACTAAAGGCTGCAAAGCAACTTTGGAGCTGATTATATAAAAGCACCATGAAACAACTTCCCAGGAATTCCATTCACGTCTATCTGCACTTTTAAAATAACCTCACATTTTATTCAGTTGGGTTCAGATGGAGAAGCTTGCTCAGTCTCTTGAAAGCTCCACTATCTGTTAAGCCCTGAAAAGAAAGGTAAAATAGATCTTATTTAACAGTATGAAGCAGCAAGCAATATTCATCTCTGCCCTAAAATGTGTGAATCCAGACTTACTAGGCTATCTGTGACCTGGAACAATTCTGATTGTTGAAATGCTGCAAATGGGGCTGGGGGGAATCTCTTGCCTGAAGGCTGGTTATAGGTGTTAAAAACTGGTATTCTCAGGACACAATGTGGGGTTGGTCCATCTTAAGGCAGACAAAAATGTCACAGCTGTCTTATAAAGCCTTCCTAGCTGCCTCTTAGCTTGTCTGGTATTGAAGTTAATAAAAGACTGTAACACCCATCCTGTGTTCATAAAAATGCTTTCACTTAGCAGACAATATTATATGACAAAGACAGTAAAGGATTTTTTTAACTATTACTGGAAGATCTAAGGTTTGATGCCAGATGGTGGCACAAGGATCTGAGACAGAACTGACCCTTGAGACTTTGCACTTCGCATTTCCCTGTGCCTAGTCCTAGTCTATTAGACACTGTGACTCTGGGGCTTGGAGGTGATGGAAGGGAGGATAATGTATACTTTGCATTTAGGAAACTTCTTTCTCAGGTATAGAAGTATTCATAGCTGAGGGTCTCCACTGAAAATATCCTGTCAATCTTTAAAAGGTACAGTCGTTGAAGTGTGGTTTGTTTCAGTAGGTAGATCCAGTGAATTCAAAGTCTCATAGATATCTATCAGTTTGTGCTATGGACAAAACAAGGCAGAAAAGCCAGTGTAGTTTATGAAACACAATTGTATAACATTGTGCAGTGCTAGGTCTGCCACAATTTTCGTGTGCAGGATATAGTTTAAATTGTGAAATGCCACAGACTGTGAAACTTGTACATTGAAAAAATGAATGCTGCCTGTTACTATAAAGTAATGTACATTTCTTTTACCTAAGAGCCCAGGACCCGGTGTTTGAGGAAATAAGTAAATTTTATCAACCTCTTAAGTCTTAGACTGTGAGTTTTGCACATTTGAAGAAACAGAAGCAGGCGAGTCTTGCCTTTTAAAATTCTCAATTGGTTGGTGATAGTAAATAATAAATATCATGTTCCAGGACTCTCCATCTATTAGACCTTACAGAATGTTAGTGCATTGACTTGAGCTCTCCAGCTTTCCCTTTTTGACTCTCTTGTCTCACCTCAGTATCTTCATGGTTATCTCTGTCACTGTATAACAGAAAAGATACTGTAGATGTGCAGGGAATGCCATCTTCTCATTTGCGGCTTCACAAGTGGCCTATCATTGTCAGACAGGCCAGGTAGCACAAGTTTATCATCTTTCTTTATTATCCAGTTGACTAGTTTTGACATAACTTTCCGAGTTAGGTGCTTTGATGTTAAAATACTCTGTTCATCTAATAAAGCCAAGCTATTTCAGGGCTTCCATATCCCACTTAATGCGATAATCCTTTCTAGTTTGGGGTGTGTACCTTATTTAGCTCTTTGAAGGGGAAAGCTGTTCCTGTTTTCATGAAGTTTGCCCGCAACTGCATTATCAGCCCTTGCTGAAGGGCTGCTTCATGCTTTAACATGGAAGCTTCACTGAAATGTTAGACTTAAAGTAACAATTCAAAATGGTAAGCGATAAATCTAGTTTGCACTGTATACCTTTATGCAATTTTTGGATTACTCATGCATTGCTTTTTGAGATGGGGGAGCAAATGAACCATGAGATTTGTTTCTTGTTCCAGTAAAATCGGTCGAAGAACTTGCTTGTAAATCAGGTTTGCTTTTATTTAAGGGACTAACTACAGACCAGAGAATTCCATCAAAGGTGTATGTGCGTTTCTGCTTCTTGCTGAAAGAATTCCCCATTCTTTTCCAATGACAGATAAAATGGACTGACAAAAGTGAAATGTTTGTCTTGCTAATGCTTTTGTGGAAGCTTTTCTTGAATTGCCTTTCTGATTGCTGTCTTCTGCTTTGGTTTACTTTCTGATCATTGAATTGTGATGATATAAGCAGAGTCCTCTGTATGCTTGAAGAAAAGTCTGGTTTTGGTGGCACAAATTCTTTGCTAATATTCAAAATAGAATGTTGTTTTGTAATGCATGGTAAGATTTATAAACCAGAGGGCACTATGTGTGGGGAAACTCAATGTGTTCCAGCTGTACAGAAACATTTTCTGCTGTCTGCTTTTATAGGTCCGATTTGTGAAGAATGTGACTTCCTGGAAGGAAATGAAACCAGGATTTTACCATGGCCATATATCTTATTTGGACTTTGCCAAGTATGTTACCCTTGGATTTATCTGTTGAGTAGCACTGTAGTTGAGGTTGTTTGGATGCAGCTGGGGCATTAGTGCCCTCTAGTGATGACAGCTGAGGTTTGAGACACTCGCACGCTGAAATTCGTGTGCTGAGCAATATTTGGGTTTGATTTTCACAGTTTTCTCTTGCCTTTTTGTATGTTAAAGTGTAGCCGAGTCTCATTTCAAAGCTATTTATATGCTGCATTTAGTATTCCTTGTGTGAATTACAGTCTGTTTTACTGAAAATCCTGGCTTTTCTCTAAAACACTGACAGTTCTGCTTTAGGATTGCTTCCCATTCTGGGAAGTTTAAGATACTTGTTCTCAAGTGTGTTTCATATAACAGGTAATACCACCTGCCTCTTAAGTTATGTAGTTCTCTATCAGAGTATCCCTGTATACTGTATCAAAATACTAAAAGTTATATTTTAAAGCAGTTTTTTTGCCTATAGTATTTTGACTTGCCATAAAAAGCATTGAAATAATTCTTCTGGAGTTAAATCCTGCTGCTTCTAAAATTAATCTAAAAGAAAATGGGGTAAAAATCCTCCCAGTGACTTCAAATGTTCAGGATCATATCTGTATTCACGCTTTCATGTGTTTCTTCCCTTGTCTCATTTTTGCTAATGGATCTAAAGCAGTGATCCTCAGTAGCTCACTCTTGTGAAGCCTCTCCTTGAGCTGGCAAGTCAGTTTTGCTTAAGATGCTTAGCAGACAGTGCTTCATTTTGCACTTGCAACATGCAGAAAAGCATTGAAAGTTGAAAGTGGAATTTTCAGATCTCAGCATATTTGACTGCACAACCAATAGTAACCAGTACTTTCACCTCCTGCTGGTGGTCAAGCCTCAGTTGTGTTATGTTTCTGTGTATTAAAACATTTATGTAGGAGGGCAGGCTGCTGGGGCTGGTTCAGCCTGGAGAAGAGAAGCTGTGAGGAGACCACGCTGCAGCCTTCCAATGTCTGAAGGGAGAATACAAGAATGCTGGAGAGGCACTCTTCATCAGGGCCTGTAGCAATAGGACAAGGGGTGATGAGTTCAGGCTGAAACACGGGCAGTTCAGGTTAGATCTAAGGCAGAAGTTCTTCCCTGTGAGAGTGCTGAGGCGCTGGCACAGGGTGCCCACAGAAGTGATAAATGCTCCACCCCTGGCAGTGCTCAAGGCCAAGTTGGACAGTCTTGGGTGACATGGTTTAGTGTGGGGCATCCCTACCCATGGCAGGGAGGTTGGAACTGCATGATCTCAAGGTCCTTTCCAACCCAAACTATTCTATGATTCCATGATTTATTTAATGAAATAAGATTTTTAGTGTGTAAGAGCTTCTTTTGTTTAGTCATTGCTTTTAATTATTCTCTCATGTGCACTGATTTTTAATTCTAGCTTTTGATTACAAAGAGTAAGAAGGGGAAGTGAGAGCATCAGAGATTCCCAGTACAGCATATTATATAATAGAAAATGCTAAAAGCTACAGTAGTAGCTGGATAATACCAATAGCACCAAATAAAACCTTGAAGTTTACAGAAAGTAACAGGCAAGAAGTCTTAATTGCACCTCATTCAATAAAATAAAATGTACCAACTTTCATTAGTGGCTTTTCTGCCTTCTAAAGTTAAAATGTTGCAACATTAATGCACCCTTGAACTGAGTAACAGCTTTCTAGAATGAATGAATGTTATTTAATTTCAAGGCCAGGTTGGACGGAGTCTTGGGTGACATGGTTTAGTGTGGGGCGTCCCTGCCCATGGCAGGGGGGTTGGAACTGGATGATCTCAAGGTCCTTTCCAAACCAGACTATTCTATATTCTATACATTGCTCACTTCATAAAGCTGAAAACATCCTCAGATACTCCCACATTTAAAATAAAATAATTACTTTACATCTAGAGAGCATCTAAGCAATTTCACAGATTTCTTTCATCTGCATCTTCCCTCTAGGACTGTGTTATCCTTGTGCTTGCTGTTTGTTATCCTTTCCCATAAATGATTTATTTCCTAGACCTCTTCCCCCAACATAGCTTGCTTTCTCATATGTCAGGTTTTCATTATTAAAATAATACCTTGAATACTTTGGCTGTGCTTGGCAGGGCCCACACTTTTCAGGCCGTGAGGTGTGTTCTTGTAATGAACATTCTTGTAGTTGAGAAATGTAAAGTATTTCCAACAAGTCAATGCTTGCTTATATGCAGATATCAGGCTTGGGTCCACAGTCAGGTATCAGAAGAACCTCTTAAAATATTCTGAAGCTTAAAGTACTGCATTCAATAAATGACTTATGGTATTGAGGACAGGTTATCATAACCCATCCATATAAAAATTACAGTAATACAAGTTTAAATTTGTTTTCCTCTTTTTCTTAATTTCTGATCCCCTCCCTCTCCCCCCTTATCCCCTTATCTCTGGTAAACTCTGGTAAAGTTCTTTGACAATGCAGTTACAAAATCATTATAATTACTAATAAAGCTATAGTAGTAAGTACCTTATGTTATCCTAACTGATGCGAGTTTTGCAAGGTCGTGTGCAAATCTACTTGAATGTACAATCCCGCACAAATATTTCCAAGGGCTCTGACACCTCCATTTAACACACAGGAACATATTATTGGTTGAGGCTGCTGCTTGGTCAGAATGGTTTGTTCCAGCCTTCTCCAGCACTTGCAGGAGAGTCTGTAGAAGGGGACGCCTGTGCATGTCTCTCGCACTTCAGTGGACCTGAAAGAGGTGCAGTTCAAAGTCTGGACTTCGAATCATTTTGATGCACACACTCCTGTTTTGCAGACTTTGGGGAGTAAGAGCTGGCATACAGACAAATGTCAGCATTGTCACCTTTACCTGCTACGGTCTCATGCATTGGTACTCTGCTGCTAACATCTGAAGAATCAATTGCTGTTCTGTAGCCTTTAAAAATTTCCGTATCTGTATTGCTGGCCTTTTGCCACAGTGATGCCTTTTAATTGTGGTTTTTTTTTTAACTTCTTCTCTGCTGCTTATTCTGTGTTTCTGTTCTTCAGCTTTTGCAACTTAAGATTCCTCACATAAGCAGTATCTGGTACTATAATTTACAGAGTACCACTTGAACAATAATGGTACTGCATCTGACACACATTCCCATTGTGATATAACCTCTTCAATGTTTGGATACCATATTTATTTGCCACAGTGATGTCTCAAATGGAAAAGAAAATAAAACTGAGAAATGTGTTGTAAAAGCTGCCTTGAATATAGATCATTGAAAAGCAGCATTTGCACAAAACCATTTCGGTGGTTTAAATCTTTCTTACGTGTCCTGTGAGCTTACCACCTTATTTCATCAGGCTTCCTGTTTGTACCACAGTAAATCAAAAGTTGCTTAAGGTAAATGTCTAAGGAAAAATGTTATATTTTCAGATAGAGAAGTTAATATGGTTACAGATACTAGCTTAGGCTTCTATTTAATAAGCATAGCCATATGGATGCAACCCAGGTAATGGATGGGCTCTGCACTCTGCCTGCCTTCTGTTAGAAATCATGTCTCTGACAACTGGAGACCTGCCAAGAAAACCACTTGCAGCATTGCATAGCACAGTTCAGGAGGGCAGGAAATCAATATCAAACTTCCTTATGCTTATTATAAACACGTAGGTGGCTGCTAGACTCATTAAGGCATTTCTAGAGCCAGGATGGTTGTATAAACATTTTGGTACCTATTGTGTGAGGATGTTTAAGGTTTGTTTGCTTCTCTTAAAAAAATAAATAAATCACGGTCCCAGGAAAGCTGAAATGGAACTGACTTTCACATCCGCATAACACGCTGGATAATGAAGGTGAGAGGAAGCAATCATTAAACTTCCTCTCACCATCATCTTCTTTGTATGTAGGTTTCAGTTGTGTCAGTAGAGACAGGCTTTTAAGTATTAAATGGAAGCTCTGATTTGGCCTTTAAAAGACATTTTCTTCCCTCTTTTACTTTAGATTTGGTGTCAAAAAGAAACCAATTTACATAAATGTCATAAGAGATCCTATAGAACGCCTAGTTTCTTATTATTACTTCCTGCGCTTTGGAGATGATTACAGACCAGGGCTACGGAGACGAAAACAGGGGGATAAGAAGGTAAAATATACTTCATTATATATGGTTTCTTACCGAAATTAGTGTATAAACCATTTTAAAATGTCCTGATAGAAGCTGAGTATTTCTTGTATCAGTCTTGGCGATGGTGGCTTTGCAAGTTGTATTCTCCCCTTTTGTCTGTACTAGACCAGAGTGGAACATGAAGTATGTTAAGTGTAACATTTTGTGTAACCTTATAAATTAACTTTATGATACAATTTGTCATGCAAATTAAATACAATTGTAAATGTTTTCAGGTACCTGGAGTTGTAAGTATGGAGTTAAGCTTATCCTCTTGTATGAGAATTCTGCATCTGTTCTTGTTGAAGATTGAAAGACATTTTTCACTACTATTTTTTAATAATTAACAGCCTTAAACAGTAAATGTTGCAGTGGAATTATGTGAAGAGTCTTCTTGCAAACTATAGAGTTCTAATCATAGGTTTCTAGACTTCCTCCATCCGTCTTAGGTGGCTATAGGAGTAGTTCAGGTTCATATATTCAAACCTTGTTTACTAACACAGTTTCAGAATGACAACATGATTCGGACTTCATAATACAGTTATTGCAGAAGGAACTTATACATCCACTGTCGTGGTTTACAGGAAGACATTTGTTGAAGCTTGTTGCTTTGTACTGCTTGTAAATCAAGGAGAAAAGCGAATTATTAAGCATATGAATATAGTTTATAAAACTATAATCAGAACAGGGTGGAAGTTTTTAGTAAATGGAAAGGGCTTTTGTATGTTGCAGAGCCAAACACTTTAAAATGTCAGTGGCAATATTTTAGTAAACTGATTTTTTTTTTTTTCTGTAATGTTACCATTTAGTGTAGAATGTGTGAATACGGAGAGATATTGGAAAAACAGCTCATCAAAAATCATACCGAATACAGCTTAATATATATACACCACATAACTAAGAAATGTAACTACTAATTTTGTGTGCCGCCCCCCATCCAAGCAGTGTATTTAGACTGTCTGGAACAGGGCATTTGTCTTGTCTTTCCCTTTGATGACTAGCTGCTCCTCTGTTATTTAGGGTTTGGCGCCATCTTCAGCTACTGCTGTTCAGTTTGTCCCGACATCCTACAGCATAGGTAGAGGAAAGCTTCAAGCAAACCAAATTGAAATGAAGCTTAAAATAAATCTATCTTCATAGCACTGGCTACAGAAATGATTTGGTAATACAGTGTCGTAAAGGCTAAAAAGCCTCTTTCTAAAAAGAGAGAGAATCTCATCTTTTGTAACCTACTCTCTTCCTGTTCAGGAAGAGCATCATTTGGTCAGTGAAATTCCTTGCTGGTAGAGATGAATGAGTTGGAAAGCTGACCATGCTACCAAGTCCAAGCTGTTTATAGGGCTTAAACTTCATGCTTTTTATTAAGTACTAATAGCATTGTTTTAGTTTTGAATTAGAGTCCAAACAGACTTGTTAGGTGGTCACTGGGAAACATTAAGGCAAAATCCCTAATGCTACTGCTTGGTAGACTGCACTGTAAGCTCTGATTTGCTGGAACAAGTTGAAATGCATTCCTATTTATAATGTTTGCAGTTCACTGCAGTAATAATTTTATGGTTTTCTATTAAAGATGCTTTTTCTTTTCATTTGTCACTATTATGCCACTTTATTTAGGTCTGAAACTTAGTTGTTGCCTTACAGATTTAACTTGTCCTGTAAGCAGCTCTAGTTTGTATGAAGTGAAATTGATTTGCTATGCCAAGTTTTAGGGATCCTGTTTTTCCCCAGTGTCTCCAAGAAAACTGTACATATATAGATGGTGTCAGTTTTACATACATTAGGTATAAAATTCTTTAAGCTCAAAACTGGATTGGCCCAATCACAGTGTCTGTAACACTGGTATCTATCCTAATCTGTGTTATAGGAGATTCACTAAGAGCTCTTCATATGAAAAGTAGAGAAGATCAAAACTTTTTTCATAATGGAAATCAATTTGTTCCTTTATTAAATGGGAGGGAATCTTAATGGACTTTACACCCTCACCCTCTGCCAGTCCATACCACATTTATATGGAAGAGTTCTTCATTCATTTTCTTCCTATACCCCGTGCTTTCAAAGTTACAGATAGCTTGGCTTCAAGAACAGGGTCTGTAAAGACAAGTATTTCTTTTAATAAAATCTCTGGGTGGAATAGCTGAGATAAGTATATAAGAGGAAGTGGGGAAGGAGGTGTGTCCTGTTTAATCTTACTTAGAGTATCACTTACTTGCTTTTGTGTATTAACTATAAAATAACCTGCAGGTATAAGCAAAAGAGTCTTCCTTTTGACAGATGCTAGTTCATACTTAGTATATACACTCATAAGTTAGGAGGTGCATTTAAACAATTCAGTTCTTAAGTAATGTTGATGTTATAAAATACCCATGATAGATCAGTGCAGAATTTCTCTTAGAGAGCTATGCTAAAGAAAGCATACCAATGTCTTGTTTTCTTAGTGAAGCTGAGTTTTTATCTATGTGACATGTATGAGCTATTCTAAACTCCAAGTGCAGTGTGGGCCTAGGCACCACAGGTTAATCCCTGCTTTGGCCTGGTATCAGTACATTTTTCAGATTATCTCAGGATCTTCACCTCAGAACAGAAGCAAAGGGCATTGTCCTTGTTCTAACACTGAATAATTAGGCAAATATATTTGTTAATAGTTGTTTTGAACAGAAACCGGACAGAAGAAATAGTCAAAAAAGTTGTCTAAGTGGTCACTTATTTGTTACTAAATAATTTCTTAAAAAGCTTTCCTAGATACATGGCTTACACCTTGCTTAGAAATAGGAATACTGTGAATACTTCATGGTGACTGGGCAAAGTATTTACCAATTCTTTCCAATGTTAATGGAGTTCTTATTGTAACTGTATTACTGCAGTTGAATCTCTGTGTTGCTACAGCTGTCTATCCATGTAAAGCAGTGCTGTATTTGCCAAAAATAAATTGCCTCCTGAAATGGCAGTTATTTGTCATATTAAAAATGGACTAAAACATTATTTAATCTGCAGCACAAAATGCACAGTGTTCTATCATATAAAGATCCAGCTGTTTCCAGTGTCACATAAATCCTGATGGCAATTGGTGCTGTATCTTTAGTGACTTATTTTGTAAGGGAAAAAAAATGATGTTAACACTTGCTGACTGGTTTTGCTTGTTTTGACATTCATCCTTCATCAAGGTTATATTAAAGAAGTATCAAATGAACCAGGTAAGATCAAATTGTTCATTAGCTCTAACTCCAGAGTATCCAAATACTATTTTAATTGAGATGAGTAACTCCTAATAGCACCCTGAAAGCAAAGCTTGGAAATGTACTGGTTTTCCTTCATTCACATCATCTCTTGTGTTTTTCTGTCCCCACTACATTTAGCCAGGTTGAGATGTGGGATATGCATAAAAGATTTTAAAGCTCAGCTCAATTTTGTCTTTGTTCCAGACCTTTGATGAATGTGTGGCAGCTGGAGGTTCAGACTGTGCTCCAGAGAAACTTTGGCTTCAAATTCCATTCTTCTGTGGCCACAGCTCCGAATGCTGGTAGGGAGAGAAATGTAGCTTAAATTGTTAGTCAAGTATATCAGTGCTAAAAGCTAAACTTAACAAACCTGAATATGTAACATAGTTGAAGAAAGTGTGTGGTACTGGACAGAGTGAAGCAGCAGGTACTTCAGCCATGTATTTTCTTCTGAAGATGCATTTTAATGTAACAGTCTTGCAGCTCCTGAAACAAGCAGTATGTTAGTGTACTGTGTCAGCTGTGCTAGGAGGGAAAACAGATGTTTCCCATTTTAACAATAATTTTTTGTAGATTTGGAGTATTGACGTTTTTCTTTTCTGTCAGGCTACGATATCCATCTTTCTGAAAGGAGATACTCCGTTCAAGCTCGCAGAGTTTCTGGGGAGAGCAAAATAATTGGGATCAGGATAAATTTATCTTCTTAAACCTTTACCAGACATCTAGTAGTCAATGTTATGTAGAAGAAACCAAACCAAAGGCAAATAGTGTCCATCTGTCAATGTAGCATGTTTTATAACAATGGCATAGGCTTTAAAACATTGAACTAAAGGCAAACTAGAGGGGAAAAAAAAAGCAATTTGAAGGATTCTGAGTGAAATCAAGGGCAATTATTTGTCAATGCTACTCTTCATCCAAACACGAGCAAAGCACATGGTCGTGTAGAGCTCCTCTTTCTGTGCCTGTCAGTCAGACCTATCTATGCCTGAGCCAGGTGAAGAAGCAGAAAAGGAAAGAGCTCTGTACCTATCTTTTCACTCTGTCTAGAGCTATAAAAGGAGGAAAACAATATCAGTTTAATTACTGTCTGTTGTTCAGTATGGATGTCCCCCCATTAAGTGCAGTGACTTTCTAGTTCATAATTATGCTTCTAGGATGCAAAAGGGAAAGATGTGTTCTTACCAGAACCATTTCTGGTGGCTAATGGGAAAGTGGAGACTGAATATTGACATGAGAAAATGTAGATCCTCCAAATATTGCATTAATAGAGACAGGAACCCTATACCCATGTGGTTTGTTTGGTAAATGAGTTATTAATCAAAATAACTAGAGGAGTCAAATTTCTAGGTAAGAACTCAGATGAGAGAAACTGCAAAGGGAAACGAAGTTAGGAATGGTTACAAATTGAAGTGAGCCTTCCCTTTCCTATGCAAATGTCCTGTTACAAAATAATCTCCATCTAGGGACCAAGGATTGTTGGCTGACATCAGAACTTGCTGTAATTGTTCTCTGTCATTTTAGGAATGTGGGAAGCAGATGGGCTTTGGAACAAGCCAAATACAATCTGATTAATGAATACTTCCTAGTAGGAGTTACTGAAGAGCTTGAAGACTTTATCATGTTGTTGGAAGCAGCTTTGCCCCGGTTCTTCAGGGGTGCCACAGAATTGTACCGGACAGGTATTTACATTATTTAAGTGGTTGATTTTCAAGGATTCCATGGATTTTTTCATCCTCTTACCCTTTTTTTCATGTGAATTCTTTAGACTTTGATGAATAGTTTTGAATCTTTGCCAGGTTTGCCTCTCAGTTGGCTGATGTTCCTACATATTTAAAAGGCTCCCAGTACAAATGCTTGAGGGCAGCCCAAGTATCTTCGTGCCTTACACAAGCCTATGCTTGATTCAGCCTGGTTGGCTGTGCAGAAAGGCCCAAGGGATACAAAGGCCCAAGTATATGTTGCCTTCCTGGGGCTGTAGTAAGCCATTTGTCATATAGCTAGTACCTTGGTTTCTCAGAGCTGCCCATGCAACTTAGGATGAGGAAAAGGTCCATCTTAGGCACAGCTTCTACCTGCAAATAGAAGGAGAAAAGGATCTGATGTGTAGGGTCTACATGTGTAGTATTAACAAGTTTATTACAAAGCAGCAAATAGCAGTTCTTAGGGAAAACGCTACCATCTTTTTGGTCGTCTTTGTCTCATGTAAGAAGTCTCTTGCTCTGCAGCCTTTAAAATTCTTAACAGTTGATATCAGATTAACATCTAAATAATTAATTTTGAAAGACCAATCTTGCTTCAAGTACATTATGTGGAGTAATTTTGTTCCTTAAATGAAGTGTTCATTCCCTGGGTTTATTAAAGTAAGGAGGAAGAACTGAAAGAACTGATGCAAAATTCATTAACATTTAGTGCAAGAGACTGCAAGTTTCCAACCCTGCATGTTGCGTTAATAAATTCTGGATGAAATTCTGTCGCTTCTAATGCAGTTTATCAACATGCTGAGAGGATAAAACTCTGTGTAAAAGGACTGTAAACATCTTTTAATCCATAAACTTTAAAGTGAAGTTCCTGCTTTCGTTTTTGCGTTTAGGAAAGAAGTCTCATCTTAGGAAAACAACTGAGAAAAAACTTCCCACAAAAGAAACTATTGCCAAGCTACAACAGTCTGAAATCTGGAAAATGGAGAATGAGTTCTATGAGTTTGCACTGGAGCAGTTTCAGTTTGTCAGAGCACATGCAGTTCGGGAAAAAGATGGAGAATTGTATATTCTGGCTCAGAACTTTTTCTATGAAAAGATATACCCAAAATCAAACTAAGAACAACACTGTACAGTGAGATTGATGGACTTGAATCTTTGGTCACATTGTCATCTTAGTCCTCAGCCACGGAAACTAGATTGCTTGTAGACCTTCAAGACATTTCCTGATAGATCTGAGAACAGTAGGCTGTGGATCACCTCCAAGGCATTGGATACTGGCTAACATCTTGGTAATCCAGAAGCAAAGGCTTCATTTCTTTTATCTAATACTTTCAGTGGGAGTTAATATCCTTTACCTGAAGAAATCTACACTTCTAATTCGGAGCAATTAATACACAGCAGTTCTAGTTGAAAATATATCCAAACAAAAGAATGCTTCTGTTGATGCTCTTTTTAAGTTTCAGAGCTATTTCTTTTCTTTTATACTTCTGTGAAGAGGAAATAATTTTTCCCAGCTTTCAACATGGAAATTTGGTTGCATCCAATAGTGTTAATAACTGGTTGACATCTGTGCTTTGTTTTTGTGAATCATGTCACATGATATTAATTGGGATGGTGAATCATGTTCTGCTGAGAAACGCTGCTACAATTGCCCATATTTATCTATGTGGTTTTCTTTACAAATGACAGTTGATCATGAGTGTTCAAACATCATTTCCACATTAATATTGTAAAAAGTTAAAGAATCAGAGGAGGTTTGGTTTTGGTTTCTTTATCCCCACCACCACTGGCTGAGGTTGGAAAAACTGTGAAGAAGCTGGTATTGTCTGCAGTTCTAGTTGATCCTTACACAGTGGTATAAAAAACATAAACTCAGTATTAAGTTTCTCCATGGATTCTTTGTAATAACTGTAAACTGAGGTATTGGTGAATCCATATTATGACTCCATGAGTGAGCTGTGGTATGGTTAGGGTTTTCCTACTACTTCGATACTTTTATCTGTAGAATATTTTTACTAAGGTGCTTTATAACGTGTTTTAAAGCATTGCATATACAAAAGGAGTAAAATGCTGTAAATACTGCTTATTTTATGTATTTGGACCAAAAGGTTTAAAGTAACTAGTTTAAAGTGGGGTTTTTGCACCCGTTCTGTTATGTGTGAAGTGAAAAGCATCACATCTACTTTGTGGTTGTGTTACAACTGTTGGACATTGCTGAAATGCACCTCAGTGACCTCTCTGACTTCAATACCAGAATGTTGTCCAGGGATTCTCTTTGCAGAAATGTAGTCTTCATCCTTTTATTATGGTAAGAAGACGAGAAGAAAAATGTCATGTGTAGTCTGGTTGGGAAAGATGCAGTGAACTTGATTGACATAACTCTATTTATGTAACTGCCTTATGTGACTATTGTAAATCTGTGAGTTGCCATTATTAACAGTGTGAAACACCTGGTAGATGAAGTAAATTGCAATTGGTGAACAGATGTTTGGGGCCACTGCATTAGAGCAAATGGCAGTGGAGAATTGTAAGAATTTGTTTCCTATTGAATTTTCTTAAAGATCTGAGTTTTTACACATCTTACACCTGCCTTTTCTTGTAATGCTTTCCACAGAGTTTGATGGGGGAAGGCACCAAGGAGACAAAGTAAGGAATGGTGGTAAAGGTTTAAATTCTCAAGGGATGATGCTGAAGGCTTAGTTTAAAATTACCAAGTAGAGTTTCTTTAACCAGCTTGTTCTTGTAATGAAAACAAAGGAAATGGAAAATGTTCTGTGAACCGAATGTCTGCAGCCAAGAGCAACAGCCCGATGACAGAGAGGATAGGGAGAGACTATCAGGTCCATCTTGCATTTTCTTTGTTTTCTTGGATTTTTCCCTTTGATTTTTAAAAACAGATCTCTTTTTGTTCTTCCCAAATAATCAGGGAAGTTCCTTCTGATAGCTTACCCTTTATATAGCATGAACCATGCATAAGATTTCCTGTTCCAGGTCTTGTCTGTTGATGTCATTAATAATGCCAGTGTGCTTGGGAATAGGATGTGTTAGTTCACAAATGAAGGCATTTTTCCTAGCTAAAGAAAGGAACTGAGGAGTCATACACAAGAAGTAGCTAATGGAGATCTAAAGATTTCCATAGTGAAGCAGTAACTTTTTGGAAATAAAATGAGTATTTATAATCCCAGGAAAGATTATTCATTCACTGTTAGTTTTACAATAGATTTTCTTTTGACTATCTCTTTTCTCCTTCAGAGTAATTTGGATCAGTTTACCTTCTTGAGTCTCCTTCAGAATATTCAGAAGAGCACCTCTAAGAGAGCAGAAGAGTTTAGTAAGTGAAAACATAAAATATTCATCTAAGTAATGAAATAGGTATGTAGACAAATGCTTCTCTATTGACAAGAAAACCGATAGGCAAACCTTCTACCGATTTCAGTAGGCTCTACAGAAACCCCTTCTATTCTGTAAGACATTTAAAAAGTTGTCTTTAATTTCTGTTTGCTTCCAGGATTTAGATTTTCTTCATTCTGAGTCTTCAGTAAGGACAATAATAGAAAACAGTAGAACAATGCAACTTTTATTACTTTTAAATGAGCAATATATTTTTCATAGGTCATGTCAGAAAGCACATTTCATTTAATCAGCTATCACTTCCCGTCCTTTGCTGTGAACTGGCAGGGTTGAGACAAGCAAGAAGTCTAGCTACAACTGGGAGGTTTCATTCTAGATGTGCTCTGACAATGTTACTGTCTGTGGAACACAGAAGGAATCAAGACTGTCTACTTTTATATCTAGAGCAACTGTTAAGTCAACTGTGAACTTTTTAGGATCCTTTCAATTGACAGCTATCAAACTTAGATCTCCTAAAAGACAGTTTAGGAGAAGGAGCTTTACACATTTTTAATAACCTGGTTTATTCCTCTTCTATTTGGAAATGGAAACAATCCAAGTTGTTGGAATTAAAAGTGTTTTACAGTATATAAACAGAATTTATCTTGTGAATTTGCCCTTAATGACTTGGAGTGAAAAGCAGCAATACATGGGTTTTTGTTGTTGCAGGTTGTATGATCAGTAAACTTACTATGCAGCCTCCTAAACATGGATCTTCTAACTGAAGTCACTGTAGTCTCTGCACAGGAGCTTGGCTTTCTGCAGGGCTAAGTTTGTTTGAAAGGTGCTGAAACGCTCATCTCACTATAGTTTAGAGTAGGTTTTCTTACACTGTTCTGTACTTTTGTACAAGATTAACACCCAGATTTTGTGCTAAACTTTAGCCCTGTTGGAGCTCTTGATGTCAGCATAATGGCATGAGGTCTAGCTGCACTGGCAACTGCATAGCCATACCCACAGCATGCCGGAAGCACTGGGCAGTGCTGACAGGAGAGCAACAGTGGTTTTAGCTCCTTCCCATAATAATTCTGCAGCCATGCAGCAAGAACATCACTCTTATTAGTGTGTCTGTAGACAGCCACTAGGCTAGGGTGCAGAGTATCCTATGTGCACATTCCTGCTTGCTCTGAGTTGATTTTCAAGCAGTCTCTCTATTAGTGGTATGCTGATCATGGCCTCTTATTCAAACAGGCATGAAAATTTATAGCTATACAATACGGGAGAGGAAGAAGCAGCCCACCCTGGTCATTTGAAATCCCTTTTCTGGGTACTTAGTTTTCTCTGAAGATACGTAGCTATTTTTACTTTCCAGGAATAAACATTTGCTTATTTATGGTCTCAGAACTGTTCAGTTTTATATTGGGGAAAATTCAGTTCTTTTATAATTCTGTTTAAATCTTTTATTGAGCTTCCCTGGTGTTGCTGAACACGTATATGACAAAAAGGGGTATGGATGACGCTGTCTGAACTGTGCTGCTTAAGCAGTCAGTGGAAAAGCCTGGTTCAAGTGCACTGCCAATTTAGCTCTTCAGAATTAGAGCATATTTTATGACTACTAGAGATTAAACTTAAGGAAACTGTAAGGCTGCTTAGTTGGATGGATGCTTCCTTTACTGTAAGCCTATGCAACTATGTAACCTAGCAGCAGTATTTATAGAAAGAGTCCTCTTCCTGAGACTTTTCTGGAGCATAATTATAAATGTTCATACACTTGTACTGTCTGATATTTACATCAGCAGCTTTCTGTAGCTTTGGTAAAGAGAGACAGGTTTGTGAGCATTTCTAAAGCAGTACTGAATGTAACTTTGAGAAACATGGATTGTGCGTCATGACTCGTTTCTTTTTGAACACACACACACACAGCTGAATAGTGCCTTTTTTCCTCACAATCCATGTTGAAGATGCTCGATCCCACTCACCCTCCGTAAACTGATTCGTTTGTGCAATACTGTTCCAACTTGAAACCATTTTGTCGCACCTGTTTGAGAAATAACCTCCATTTTTTCCTCACTATGTTGCCAGCTTTCTGTTGTTGAAGTGTTTCAGTTGATTACCTAATACAAATGCTACAAAATAAAACACCCAATGGGAAGGGGAAAGAAAAGAAGTCTGGTGTCCTGTCTTCATATTTGCATGTCACACTCACATTAACTGCTTTCCTTTTTCCCCCTAGAAGATGTTATGCAGTACTGTGAACTTTGTCTGCAGCTATTGTGATTTTGGGGTGAGCTGGAAGGTAGCTTGTCTGTAATGATTTCACATAGCTATAACCAAATATATTTATAGGCTTGTAGAATGTGCTTTGTGCTTTCTGGCTAGAAATGTAATAGATTTGCAGAAGGTCACTGTGCTGAAAGCGTCAGTAAAAAGTTCTTCACGTTAAACTCAAGATGTGTAAGAACAGAAAAGTGGCATTAAGCCAGTGCATTGGTACATATGTGATTCCCTGTCTGAGGGAGTGAATGACCACTTATAGTGGTACTGGAAGATGCTCAGTTACAGTGATGAATGTGATGTAAGAACTGGAAGGTAAACTTCATTTGCACTTGTAAGCAAGCACTTAAACCAAGAAAATACAGTGAGCATGGGATGCACTGCACTGTTGAAGTGCATACAGCAACCGTTGCCCAGTAAACATTCCTAGCTTCATGCACGATGGAGCTGGAAAGTCATCTGACCCAGCCAAGCTTCTTAATGCAATAGTTCCTAAATATTCAGTTGTCAGCCTTGATTAAGAACCACCATGCAGCTACTTAGGAACTTCCAGTTGAGGATTTTGATGGCTTTCAAATCCCCCTTTTGTTGAAAGTAGGCTTTTCCTTCCTTCCATCAGTGGAAGGGGTAGGTGTAATTGTACACAGGAAACAAAGCTTCTCTGCTTTAATCAGCCAGGAGTAAGTGGAGATAAAAATTGCCCATATAAAGGTACAGGACTTCCAAAAGTTGCTGCACCTCTTTACAAAATGATATAGCAAACAAAATGGGGGGGGAAGGCCAAAAGAAGTTCTAACACAGAAAGAATTTAAGATGACAGTAGCTTCTGCTGGGAGAGGCAAAATGATGGTAGTGTTGCACATCTGTGTTAAATACTGGTTGAACAGCTTTTTAACTGATGCTGCCATTTGCACTGGTTATTAATCTCATCAACCAGAGTTCACGGGAGGGGAGTGAAAGAAGGGAAAGGGGTTTTTTTTTGTTCAAAGCTAGTCAGGTCCTGTATTTTCATTTTATTTCTTGTTTGAATCTTGCATTTGATTTCAGTATAATTTCCTTACTTCTTAATAAAATACAAAAAGTTGCTAGTGAATGTCAAAGCAATGTCCAGATGTTTTCTTCAAGCACAAGTCCCCTGCTATGACCTCCCCCTGGCTTCATTACCACATAACGCAGATGTGGTAACTTTCAATAAGAGCTAATTTAAAGGACTAATAATACTCTTTATTAAAAAAAAACCTCTACAAAGAACACCTGTGGCCTAAAAATGAAGGCTTTGAGACCTTTCACCTTGTCATAATAACCAACTGCATCCTCATAAAAGTGGAAAACACTGTGATAAACATTCTCTGCCCAATTTCTTCACGTTTACAAGGCTGGTCCCGAATCCACCCTCAGATTTGCTGTGCACAGACATTAACTTCTCATAATAAACATGACTGTCAAAATAATTGCACAAAGAGCAACTACCCATCATCTTCCTGGGAAAAGAAATAAATCTTGGAATAAAATAGATTAAAATAGTGATTCATGGGAATTGTGCTTATAGTTCGATTTACGCAGGTATCGCATTCCTGTGATGTTTTAACAAATGGTTCCCTACCTTGCTGTACACATGCATCTGTTGTTTCACCCTCATATTGAGATGAACTCCTCTGTGCTTTCCAACTAAGAAAGCATTGTATTTCAAACAGAAATGCAATATTAATAAGGAAAAGCAGTGTTCTATTTTGAGAAACATGCCTAATTTGGTACGATAATTTAAATGCTGTAACTCACCCAGAGCTCTGGGTTTGATGCAGTGGTTACTGGAAAATATGATGAACTGTCTCTTTACCAAAGAAAGAAAAAAACATAGTCCAGAGAATAGTGGTATTCTGGCCCTAAAGACATTATTGTCTTGACAAATATCGATTGCCATTTTTAGCACAGAATAGCATTTGGCATCCTTAATCTCTTTTATTTAGAATTTAATAACTTTTAAAACATTGCGTGACTTGGAGAATTGGCAAGGGGAAGAGGAACGCTTAAGTGCTAGAGACTTGTGCAGTTACAGGCTGGCTCTGTCAGGACTGCCTCACTGCAGTCTGTAATGAGTGAATATACAGGCAAATACATAACAGTAGATACAGTAAGAAATTGTATGTATGCGTCTGTATAAGGAACACAGAGGAAAGTGTAGGAAGGAATATCTCACTGTATGAGACTGCAATAATTCCTTAAATCAACAGCTCTGACTGCTACCTTCAGCCTTATCATCTGCTCTGGATCTTCAGTGCCTTCCCTTGACTGAATTAAGAAACTCAAAATTGCAGCCATCAAGGCCACTGTACTATAAGCAGGGCCTGTACACCAACAAATGAAATGTCTCCTGCTTCTATCCCCAGCCCAAATCCATGCTTCCAGTGCTTTGCTCCAGTGCTATTTATAGCTGAGCTATAGGTCTGGAAAAGCAGGTTACATTCACAGGAAGGCTTGTCTGCTCTGCATTTGAGGTTCTTCCTTCTTGAAGATAAAATAGTAATTACCTGATAGAAGGCTAGGAGAAAGCACCAGAGAAAGCTCAGATTATGTGAAGCAAACACTGTGTGCCTTTGTTTGGTGTCTATTCAGAATGAGTTCACTGGCTCAGGCAGATTCCAACCAGCCATCTGTTAATACTAAAGGCTACTTCGGAGAGCTGGGTAGAAACCTGAGATTTACTTCCAGTAATAATTGCTATAAACATTTTTCCACAAAACTTTGTTTTTCTTAAGACAAACAGGGATTTTTTCCCTTAAATACAGAGCAAAACAGGAAAGTATCAGTGCCCCTACATCGCAGCAAATGTTTTTTGTCAGTGTTTTTGGTTTCCCCCTCCCCAAATGTATGGAAAAATGTGTGAGAGTGTGACATCTGTGTTCAGCCTCTCCCTTCTCTCAGCTGCCTCTGTGAGATAGTGCAATAGGCTTCATTCCTTCACAAGCCTTCCAAAGGACAAGTCTTATCTTGCAGGTATTGTTGTAGGACATGAGATCATGCTCCAGTATGGAGTTTATCAAAGTTGGTGTTTACTCAGGATCACCTTTGAGCCTCTGGTGGCAATAGAGGTCCCTATCCTGCACGTCAGAGGTAGTGCTCACGTGTTGTACTGAGTTAGCTTGTGCATGCTAGTGGCTGTGCATGCAGTGGTTTGGATACCTGATGTATCTGACAGTCACTTCATCTAGCAAGGCTATATAACTTGTGGGCCTGTTTTTTTTTTTGTCTTTGTGCAGGACAAGATGAGAATCATGCTGCAGTCAACAGGTTTTATTAATTACAGCTTTGCAGCAGGCCCATGTGTAACTTTAGTTCCATACTCCCTCCTCCTCAGCTCACCCATCCAGGAATGTTCTCTTACCTATATATGTGCGCATGTGTCTACACATATATAGTCATAGCTCTCATCACTTGATCATATTGAGATAAATGGAGAGTGAATTACAAAGCCAAAAAGACTGGCAGACAGCTTTGTAAGCCAAGTTCAAAAACCTTGTCAGTAGTCAGAGGGAGCAAAGCATGCCCAGGCAGACACTTGAATGCGCTTTCAGAACCCATCTTCCTTGTGTAGCTGAAATGGCCTCTCAGCATCTGTTGAGCAGTCCAGTTTTGGTTTTACTCTTTTTGAGTACATAGGAAAACAATTTAAAAGAGAAAGCTATTTTCTGCAATGAAAGATCCTGATATTAAAGCTTATTTCTCCTTTAAGAACAGTGACAATCCAAGGCACATGCCTTGTGACTGAGAGGAGGGAGAAGCCCTGATGTCCTGCTTTATCACAGATACTGAGATGGTTGTTCAAACTTCTTTCTTTATTTTATCTCTGCTTATGTGTACTGATTTCAACACATTTCTTGTGATCTCTCAAATGAGTGAAGATGTGTTCAAAATCCCAAAGCATGTGCTTTTCTCTACAGCTGCATTGATAAACTCTCCCCCATGCCAACCGCCTTTTGTTTATCCAAATTCAAATAATGATTGATAACTGGAAGTCTTACTGTCTAGTTCCAAAGATAGTGCAGAAGATGAGGAAATGTGTATCACAGCTGTATGGGATATTCCAAGATCTCTTGGTGTCTGTAATATTCCATAACTAAAAGCAATACAAACGAACGGTTGTGATAACAGTATTTGTCAGGATTTCAAATGTGGAGCCTGAATGTAGGTATTTATGTTAATTTGTAGCTATCTAATGACTTGTTTATGTGTTGTTTTGTTCAGGTTGAGCAAGTATCAATAACTTTCTAGGAAAGCAGAGTATCAAGTTCTGGTGCCAAGGCATTAACATCCATCAGCAGTTTGGCATCTGAGTTTGTAATTGTTTTCTGTTGTTCCTTGTTATGAAAATACATTTGTAACAATATTCTTTTAAAGACATTTCCTCTTTGTATTCTCTTCTGTAAATCACATCTGCAAGAAAAATGTGAGTTAGGGACGTTAATCATTTGGGAGCCCTGTGTCTAAGGCTTTGAAGGCAAAGTGCTGCTTCTGCTGACTGTAGACTTTTTGCCCAGGGTGGTTTCCTCTTTCCATATAAATCATAAAACCCCCCATACTGCTGTTCTTCCCAAATCAGGTGGGGGCAGGGGGAACCCCCAAGGAATAAATAGCTGCTTTTCATGGGATGTTGCTGCCATAAAACACAGGCCAGCAACAGAGTCTTACAAGATTTTTGGGAAACAGTGTTTAAGCAGTATGAATGAAAAACAAAGCCAAATTCTTCACCTGCCCAAAGCTGGGGCAAAACCCCAGCCTCATTACTTCAGTAACTGATAGGATTCTGTTCTCTGAACACCCCATTCAGATTAGGAGTGTTTCTTGGCATTCTGCAGATTGGTTTCTAGGCTTCAACTGCCAATACATCAGCTTTCTGTTAAGGTATCAAACAGTAAGATCTATTAACATTTCTTCATGTCTCAAATTTCTGTGAAGAAGATGCAGGTGATGGGCAAAGCTGGCTGCTGGGTGAAGACTTGCCTATCGAAAGGCAGGAGCAAGGTTAGTTGTGGAATACTGGTGTCCAGTTTTAGGAATGATGATTTTCCAGTCTGTCAGATGACACAGAGCGTAACTGAGAAGTTTAAGTAATTTCCCCACAGTTATGCATCAGAGACAGATGTTTTACCCTGCACATGTGAAACAAGTTGACTAACATAGGAGGCGGAGGTGAATTCCTGCATCTTGCACTTCTCATCTTTCTACTCGTCTCTGGACATCTGTCATCATCATCATCTATCCAGTAGAGAATAGTGTCTCCATCAGGTAAGAGCTTTCTTTTCCTACCTGGGAGCAGTATAGATGCTTGTTCTTTGTAGATAACTTGATGTAAGAGCTATGTTACTATTATTACACATAAATATTTTTATTGGCAAATAAACCAGTAGTGCTGCAGATCAAAAGGAAGTCTGTGTTGGTAAGCAGTTTTGGCATGTGGCTGCCATAATATCTGATTGTTACCAGATAGTATTGCAAAGAGGCCTCTTATCCTTTGCAATGTGTTTGTTAAGAAGTCTGGTACTGATGTGCTTTATCAGATGTAAGGCACTGAAACACAGGTGGGATTTATCTGTCTTAAGAGAGTGCATCTCCTGATCCTTCCTGCTGCCTGTGTGGCTGCTCGCCCCTTGCCCAGCTACACTGTGGGCCTGCAGGCACTTCAGCAGGGGTGCCCTATGCAGGGCAGGGAATGGCCCAGCTGGATTCCTGTTTCTGCCAGCAGCAAGAATGTTGCTGCCAGCCTTTGGGTGCAGCAAACAGG